AAACTCCTCCCATGCCCAGGTTTTTGCCTCAGCGACCACCCGAGCCACATGCTGCTTCGCCTGCCGGTACCCATCAGCTGCTTCTGGAGTCCCGTTGGCCAGAATAGCCCGATAGGACTCCTTCTTCAGCTTGACAGCATGCCTCACCAAACGTGTCCACCAACGGGTTCGAGGGTTGCCGCTGCGACAGGCACCAACAACCTTGCGGCCGCAGCTCCGATAAGCCGCCTYGCCAATGGAGGCACGGAACATGGTCCATTCAGACTCAATGTCCCCCGCCTCCCCCAGAACATGTTCGAAGTTCTGCCGGAGATRGGAGTTGAAGCTCCGTCTCACAGGGGACTCCGCCAGACGTTCCCAGCAGACCCTCACTACACGTTTGTGCCTGCCAGGTCTGATCGGCTTCCTCCCCCACCACCGGAGCCAACTCACCAMCAGGTAGTGGTCAGTTGACAGCTCCGCCCCTCTCTTCACCCGAGTGTCCAAGACATACGGCCGCAGATCCAATGAAACGATGACAAAATCTATCATCAAACTGCGGCCTATGGTGTCCTGGTGCCAAGTGCAMATATGGACACCCTTATGCCTGAACATGGTGTTCGTGATGGACAATCCGTGACGAGCACAGAAGTCCAACAACAGAACACCACTCGAGTTCAGATCGGGGGGCCGTTCCTCCCAACCAYGCCCCTCCAGGTCTCACTGTCATTGCCCACGTGAGCGTTGAAGTCCCCCAGCAGAACAAGGGAGTCCCCAGAAGGGGCACCCTCCAGTACCCACTCTAAGGACTCCAAGAAGGGTGGGTAATCTGAACTGTTGTTCGGCCCGTAAGCACAGACAACAGTCAGAACCCGTCCCCCCACCCTTAGGCGGAGGGAGGCCACCCTCTCGTTCACCAGGGTAAACCCCAACGTACAGGCACCAAGATGGGGGGCAACAAGTATGCCCACTCCTGCCCCGACGCCTCTCACCGCAGGCAACTCCAGAGTGGAAGTACGTCCAGCCCCTCTCAAGGAGACTGGTTCCAGAACCAGAGCCATGCGTCGAGGTGAGGCCGACTATTTCTAGCTGAAACTTCTCAGCCTCGCACACTAGCTCCGGCTCCTTCTCCACCAGAGAAGTGACGTTCCACGTCCCAAGAGCCAGCTTCTGTAGCCGAGGATCATACCGCCAGGGTCCCCTCCTTCGGCCGCCGCCCATTTCATACAGCACCCGACCCCTTTGGCCCCTCCTACAGGTGTTGAGCCTGTTGGAAGGGGGATCCACGTCTCCTCTTCGGGCTGAGCCCGGTCGGGCTCCGTGGGTGAAAGCCCGGCCACCAGGCACTCGCCCCACCTCCAGTCCTGGCTCCAGAGGGGGACCCCGGTGACCCGCATCCGGGCGAGGGAACGCCAGATCCAATGTTAACGTCCGTCATAAGGGGTCTTCGGGCTGCRCTTTGTCTGGTTCCTCACCTAGGACCTGTCTGCCTTGGGTGACCCTACCAGGGGCATAAAGCCCCAGACAGCATAGCWCCTAGGATCATTGGGACACTCAAACCCCTCCACTACGATAAGGTAACAGCCCAAGGAGAGGAAAGAGGCCTCAAAAGGGGACAGTCCAGTAGCAGTAGACGGATGTGTATTATGAGCATATTCAGTCCAGTTAATGTGTTGACTCCATAGAGTCAGGTTGGTACTTACAACACATCTTAACGCAGCCTCCAGTTCTTGATTGCTCCTTTCCGTCTGTCGATTGGACTGTGGATGATAACCAGACGGAAGACTGACCTTGGCTCCCAGAGCATTACACAAAGACTTACAGACTCTTGAAATTAATTGAGGTCCTCGATCTGAAACGATGTCCAGGGGTATCTCGTGGAAACAAACAACATGCTGGACCAATAGCTTGGCAGTCTCCATTGCCGTAGGTAACTTGGGCAGTGGGATGAAGTGAGCAGCCTTAGAAAAACAATCCACAATGGTTAATATAGTGGTGTTACCTTGAGAGGTGGGAAGTCCAGTTACAAAGTCTAGGACGATGTGGGACCAAGGTCGACCAGGTGTAGGGAGAGGCTGTAGGAGACCTGATGGAAGACGATTTCCACTCTTGTTTTGAGCACATATAGGGCAGGCTGCAATGAATTCTTTAATGTCTGCAGGCATGGAGGGCCACCAGAAATATCTCGCTGCCATAGACATTTTACGGTTGACCCCAGGGTGACATGAAAAATGACTAGAATGTAACCAGTCCATGACTTTACTCTTAACACTTGAATGCACATAAGTTTTACCTGCAGGGCACCCACCAGGATCAGGTTCAGTTTCTTGTGCTTCTTGGATCTCCTTCTCAATGGCCTAAGTGAGAGAACCCACAAAACACTTGGAGGGCAAGATGTTGTCCTCTTCCTGAGAAACCTCTGTGTCAGAAAATTGGCGTTAGAGGGCATCTGGTTTTATATTACGAGTTCCTGGTATGTACAGTATGAGATAGTGAAGTTAAATCTTACAAAAACCAAAGACCACCTGGCCTGACGAGGGTTTAGTCTTTTTGCTCCTTGCAAAAAGACAAATTCTTATGATCTGTGCACACAAGAAAAGGTAATTCAGTACCTTCTAACCAGTGAATCCACTCTTCCAGGCCAACTTCATGGCCAGAAGTCCCCCCCCCACCCCCCCCACACACACACATCATAGTTTCTTTCAGAGGTGGAT